GCTCAGGTCATGATCCCAGGGTCCTGGGATCGAGCCCCACATCAGGCTCCCTGCTCGGCGGGAAGCCTGCTTCTCCCTCTCCCACTTCCCCTGCTTGTGTTCCCTCTCTCACTGTGTCTCTCTCTGTCCTATAAATAAATAAATAAAATCTTAAAAAAAAAAAAAAAAGAGTGCTCCTAAAGCACGATCTTAGAATTGTGAAATTACTCATAAGAGAAAAAAAAAAAAAAAAAGGAGGTGACCCAAATGACTACTGGATTCAAATTTACCTTTTTTGCCAATTTCAAGTCCTCTATCAAGTCTTCTTCTCCTTGGGAAAGCTCAAAGATTGCCTGCAAGCAAAGACAAAACACATTCACTGAACACTCCATTTATGAGACCAAATTCAAACAGTGCTGGTTCTGTTGCTCAAAGCCCCAGATCTACCCATTTCTTAAACATTTTTAAAGGATTCCTTAAAAAGTTAAATTAACCTGCAGCAAATGCATCTAAGTAGCTAAAACCTATAAAGGAAGAGTTTTGCAAAACTTCTATATAATGTACTCACCCATTTGTGGAAGAAAGGGGTTCCACATATGTTTCCAACCCAGTAAGTCATCTTTCACGTTACAGAACTTGGGTGCAGCCAGACAAGAGGGAACTATCTTAGGTAAAATAGTGACAGTTGGATTCTGCGTCTCTCATGTGTGCAGCAACCATCATAAACAGGTCTGTTCTCAGTGAGGGGCATGGCAGTATTATGAACTGGACCATCACAATTTGTCTTTGTTCTACTCAACAGAAGGTGAATCTCAGCAGAAAGCTTTATTCTTATCAGCCATTTGTCTTGAGGCTGGAATTGTAGGAAGAATCCAATATTTTATCACTCTAAATGTCTGGTGAAGTTAATTCATTCTAAATTACTTCTCAGCCCTACACGGTACAATAAATAAAATTATAGGAGCCAGCTGTGAGCAAGAGTGTGTAAATGGACCATTTCTAATTTGGCTCTATTAAGCCATCATAATTTCAGAGCTATGATGTGCAGAATACTCTTTCACTCATCTTGGAGTCTAAACTGTTGGCAAACATTGTTAAAGGACTCTATGTTTAGTCCTTTAACAGGAGTGATAGCTTGGGGACTCCTACATTTCTTTCAGACTAAAGGGAAGAAGTGAGCAAGCCTGGAGAGCACCCTCCATCTCTAGGGTGGATGGAGTATAAGACAAGGAGTTTGCTCTCAGATAAAGCAGGAGAAGGCAGAATACTGTGCTGGAGGCCATGCATGGTGACCCCTCCCAAGGCCCAGTAAAGCCACATCATGCCCTCCTGGTATTCTGTTTTGTTGAACCAGACTCACAGGAGAAGTTGTAAACATAGTACAGTGAGGTCCTGTGCCTCCACTACTCAGCTTCCCCCAATGGTGATGTCTTCCGTAACTACAGAGCATCATCAAAACCAGGAAATGGGTTGTCACAATACAATTAACTAGACTTTACTTAGACCTTCCTCAGATTTCCTTGTACATCTGTTTTACTAGAGCTTACTTACATAGGTGTGATGGTCTGACTACCAAATGTGGTCCCACTGACCAAATGTGGTTCCCAGGAGAGGAAAACCACAGAACCCCATACTGGGAAACACCACCGTCAGATGTATGTTGTGGGACAGCACAGTGTCACCATGAAGACCATGGGCTCTGGAGTAGGACAGGACCTGGGTTCAAATCGCAGCTCTGGGCGAACTTGTATTCACTGTACCTTAATAATCTCCCAATCTGCAGAATCAATCCTTCTTTCCTTCCCACTATCAGATCGTACAAGTTATATAGGCATACTGTTAACACTTGGGAAAACATAAAAAAGTGGAAAGTGGAAAATTCTAATGTACCTATAATACCATCTTGTTAACTATTGTTAGGGTTTCTTCATATTTCTTCACAGATTTTTTTCAGTGCATGTATTATTTTAAAATGCTTTCTTATTTCTTTTAAATAGGTAATACATTAACACAGTTCAAAATTTATAGTGCACAAAGGGGTATATGGTGAAAACTTTCCTTCTTACGTCTATCCAGCCACCCAGTTCCCACCCAGAAGGCAACAATGTTACCAGTTCCCTGGGAATCCTTCCAGAAATATTTTATAATTCTACAAAGCAAAAATGTGCACCTACACAAATATATTCATTTTTCCTTGTTCTTTCACATAGATGGTAAAAGGACATAATATATCCTATTTTGTGCCTTGCCTTATCCACTTAGCCATACATGCATACCAGCACTTCTTGTTACAGCTACATTGGAGTCCATGTATATCTTGTAGATATTCATTAGTTAGCCAGTCCCTGACAACAGATGTTCAGGTTCTTTTCAGCACTATTATAAACATATGAATAACCTTACATATATATCTTTTCATCTGTGTATAAGAAGGCAGACAGATTCCTAGAAAGGAATTGCTGAGCCCAAACCTAGAAAGCTTTCAAGTATGCCTTTTGCCAATGTCGGGTTTTCCACAAAAATGGAGGGTTCCAAGGGTTTCACTAGATGATGCACTGGATGTGCTTTGGGCACAGCCTGGCACTTGACAAGCTTTCTATAAAGGGTAAGATGACCATAGTCCTTTAGAGCTATTGATAGAGAAAACTTACAGGTCATGAAATGAACTGCATTCCCTAGATAAGTTCTCCACAAAACAGAATCAAAGTTTCATAAACTGAACATTTTAAAATATTCTAGAAGTTTCTATCAAAATATAACTCAAGTGATTATTTTTGAGAGCTCTGGGATCCTAAATAGACACTTCCTGATTCATTTTCTTTGTAAATTCAGATTTTCACATCAGTTTCTTTTTAAAACAGGGGCCGCCCACCCAGCTGGATGCTGGGTTCTCAGTTCCTTACAAGGCGTGACACCCATTTGTCCTCCTACAAATGCAATGAAGAACTGATTGGGAGCCTGTGGTGTAGACGCAGTTTGGCTCTTGCCTATAGCGCACTTCGTTCCAGACACAGGGCCAACTCCTGGGTCCTGAGCCTACCTCCTGACGTTTGATTTCCTTGGACGGAAGCATCTGATTGACGCACACATCGAAGGTCTCACTCCACAGCTTGCTGTCTCTCCGCTTCGTGCTTGAGGGGGCAGCATTTCTGGACCAGGGTCGGGGGGCGAGGATGTCAGGACGGCTCTCGCTGCGGAAGCTGATGGAACGCTAAACAATGAGAAAAACAAACCATCACAGGGCCATGGCAGGACTTGGGTGGATTGTTAGAGCAGCTTCCTGTCACTGACAGAATATAAATCAGATATTCACAAAAAAGAGAGGACAATGCCACAAGGCCTTTTGGGAAGTGGGGTGTTTTCTTGAGCCTACGTGCTAAGGGAAATTGGGCAAAGGGGCTGCGTTCACACATGTACTGGGAGTATCCGTTCTGTAAGACCCGGACACGGCACAGAAACATACACAAAGGCAGCTCTCAGAGAAGCCACAGGCTCCACATTTTTTTCCAGCGGACACCCCCCTTCTTCAGAAGAACAAGGATTAACAGCAGTGGATGTCCTTTACATCTGGCTAGTACTCCCATTCTCCTCCTCCATCAAGGAACAGAAGGCCGCTATCCTTGGGTATCCTACTTGGCGCACAGTTTGGGTGGGATGCCCCAGACCTGACCAGTCAGAGTAGTCCTCCACCCTGGTTCAGGGACGGGTACCTGCTTCTCCGAAATGTGCTAAGTGGTTCATGGGAGAAAGAGTGGGAGGGTCTTTATTCCTTTAGTATTGTGAACCCAAGAGACAAAATAAGCAGGAATTTCTTGCAGCAGCTCTCTCTAGTCATGCAGATAAGTCTATCTGCTTTCAAGGAGAATAAAGGGACACACAGAATGAAGGACAGAGGGAGAGGGACTGATGGAGGGAGGGAGCAAGCTTTACCCACACTGTTTAAACCCTTGGATCCCACTGTACATGAAGCCAGGAAGAGCCACTCTTCGATTAAGGGGTTAATACATTCCCCCTTCTGTTTATATTAACTTCGGTTGGGATTCTGTCAATTTGAAAACTACCAACTAATATGTATATTAAATGCCATCTTGGCAGCAAATGATGCCTGTCTTTGAGGTATTTTCTTATTTTTCTAGAGGCTCTGGTAGACTTTGGGGTGCTCTGACTACCTGAAGTCCACTCTTGGGGCTGAAACATGCTATCACAGTGCCTTCTCACGACAAGTACAAATGATCAAGAAGAAAGCTAAGTGAATCATCTTTAAGCCTTCATCCTAGAAGATTTCAACACCCTTATTGGGAACTTTGCCAAAGCATTGAGGTGTTGCTGTGCTCAAAACCACATTCTTATTTAGTAAGACATGGCTATGGCCACATGTGCATGGCCTTCAGAAGTTCCAACCCCTCAGTCTGGCATAGAAGGCCTCTTGTAATCTGACAACAGTCTATATAACTAGAATCACTTCCTGCCACTCACCCGTGAGCCCTCTATTCTCCAGCCCTACTAGGCAATCTGCCATTTCCTAAATGCATTATGCTTTGCCATCCCTTTGTACTTCCTTCAAGCAATCTTTCTTTTCCTGGGATGCTTTTCTTTCATTTACTAGCTGGCTAACTCCTAAGTGTCCTCAGGATATACCTCAAACTCCTCCTCTAAGAAACCTTGACCACTTTCCCAGAGCAATTTGGACATAGCTCTGATATAGCAATGATCACATTTTATTACACTTACTGGTCACCTGCCCTGATCTATAAACTTCCTGAGGGCAAGAACTGATTTTGCATGTGACATATGAGGTTGCCTCACTGAGACAGTCTAAGGCAGCTTCCAAATATTTTGAGATTCAACAATAAAATTTAAGAAAGAAAAGAATTTTAAGGGAGCTATTCAACATAAGGGCATTGTTAAATAAGTTATAATTCAACTGCTTGATGGTATACTATCTAGCCAATTAGACAATTCTGAGACCATTTTAACAGCTAAAAATCCCTTCTATGTAAGTTAAAATCAGAACTAAAATCTGTATATGAATACTGTTTCTAGTTATGAAAAAAAGCACAAGAACAAAGATATAAAAGGAACACCAGAAAATTCTATTGTTTTTGCCCGATGACATGATAGGTGATTTTTTATCCTGTTTATAAATTTTTTATAATTCAAGAAAAAATGAATAAATGATAAATGTAAAAAGAAACTTCCAAGGGGCTTCAAGGTATTATCACAACCTTCTTGAAGCAGGAAGTTAGCTGCTTACAAGTAGCAACATGAGTTCCTCGGGCTGGCACAGCCTTCCAAGAGCCCCTGGGCTCATTAGTGAGCTCATGATCACTGGACCAGCCCCCGATGCTGGTCAAGAAAGAACTTGCACCAAATACATGGTTCATTAATGGTATATCGCAAATCCTTGTGATCTCTTGAAAACAGGCCCTTATAAACAGTGACCAGACTAATGCTTGCAGATCCTCCGCACTCAGAATCAATTAGCCACAGGCACGGAAAGGTCAAAACAAGCAAAGTGAGTCATCAGGTTACTCACTGATCTCAGTTTTCGGTTCTGATTACAGCCGGGGTGGGAATTAAAGAGTAGAAAGAGAGGAAAACACAAAAATAAGATTCAAAATGAAAGACATTTTCCACTTTCACTCGAGAGAATCAACCGCCCACCTTGTAACAGTTTCAACTCAACCCCTGACCAACTTAAAATTCCCCTCTCCTCACCACCAGTTCTCAAGTAACTTATGCTAACTTTAAATTTTCATACATTACAAAAGTATATAAAACTAAGTACAAATCCCCTCATTTCCCCAAGTCTACTTTCCAGAAGTAACTGCTATTAAGTCTGTTCTAGATCTTTCCAGACCTTTTAAATGCATTTGCCAATGATCACAGAAAACAGAATGTTTTCTCTTCTGACTCAACAATATGTCTCTTCGTATTTGCATATAAGACTCATTCTAAAAAAATAATTTATGGGGGTAAATTTCACATAACCTAAATTAACCATTTTTGTGAACAATTCAGTGGCCTTCAGTACATTCACAATGTTGTGCAAACACCACCTCTGTGTAGTTCCAAAACATTTCCATCACCCCAAAATCACTCTTTCTCTTTAATGAGTGCAGAGTTAGTATCCCATGGTCCAGATGGACCACATGGATTTAATCAACCTCCCACTGATGGACATGAAAATCGTTTCCAGTGTCTGGCTATTACAAAAAGTGCTTTAGTGAACATCCTTTATGTATTTGTGCTATTTTTATAAGGCAGATTCCTTAAGTAGAATTCCTTGGTCTAAGAAATATCTACATTTTAGCATTTGACATGCATTTCCAAATTTGCCAAATTGACCTCCAGACACTGTTTCAACTTCATTGTCCCCAGAAAGGTATGTGAATTACCTTTTCCCACACTCTATCAACAAGATATTATTATTAATCTAATAGGGAAAACAACTACAGCTGATCCTTAAACAACACAGGTTTGAATTTTGAGGGTCCACTTACATGCAGATTTTTTTTTCAATAAATATGGTACAGTACTGTAAATGTATTTTCTCTTCCTTATGGTTTTATTTATTTATTTTAAATGTATTTTTTAAAGATTTTATTTATTTCTTTGTCAGAGAGAGAGAGCACAAGCACGGGGAGCAGCAGGCAGAGGGAGAAGGAGGCTTCCCGCGGAGCAGGGAGCCCGATGTGGGACTCGATCCCAGGACCCTGAGATCATAACCTGAGCCAAAGGCAGACACTTAACCAACTGAGCCACCCAGGCAACCCATCTTCCTTATGATTTTAATAACATTTTCTTTTTACCAGCTTACATTATTGTAAGAATACTGTATATAATACTTCTACAAAAGATGTGTTAATTGGCTGTTTATGTTATTGGTAAGGCTTCTGGTCAGCAGCAGGCTATTAAGTAGTTAAGTTTTGGGGGAGTCAAAAGTTATATATGGATTTTCATCTCTCTGCAGAGTGTGGGGGGTGTCGGTGTCCCTAACCCTTGCATTGTTCAAGGGTCAGCTGTATACCTTAACTCCAGTTTCATGTTTTTGAAAAATATGACTGAGCATATTTTTATGTATTTCTTGAAAAATTTCCCAGAGAGCTGGAGATATTTTTCTGTTGTAGTTTGAGGGGGGGGTGGGGGTGGGCGGGGAAGAGAGAGGTGAGCTATACTAGGTGAGCTCTATTATTAAGAATTCTTCGTTTTGTGTTTCCTTAGTGAGTGGTGGGCTTGGGAGCAAAGGGGGAAGGGACCGGGCAAAGTTCACATACATCAAAGAGGGGCCTTTATGTGCCTGCCCACACTTAGCACTTCTGATGAATTCTCTGATCCTCACAACCACCCACACGGTGGGGGTTTATTCCCACTTTACTGATGAAGAAACTGAGGCTCGGGGAGGCTAAGGCACTTGCTCAGGCAGGATTCAAAACCGGATCTGTTTTGCTCCCAAACCTGATCTCTTTCTATCAAGAGGGCCATATGCCTGCTACTTATATGCAAATCATGCACTGGGGGGAGGTTTCAGTGATACGGGCCTTCTAAGAGTTTAAATCTAGCTATAGAGAGGGAATGCGTTTACTTATTTTTTAGGAATAATGACTGAGTGGCTCTTTGACCAATCAGATTAACCCTTTTGCTTGGGCTGGATTAAAAGAAACGTTTTATTTTTAACTCCACTTAGAAAGGGGAAGGATGCTGAAAAGTCCCCAAAATACAATAAAGAATGCTGGTCAGGTGTGTGGTCGGCACTGGTCAGCCCTGGGGACAGCTGATAGCCAACCAGACCCAAGCCATGGACAAGTATTTAAGACCATACAACATGACCTACACCTCTCCCAGTCCTCAGTACAACTGGGCGCAATTAGATGAGAGGATTGGAGCTGGGGAAGGAACATGTAACTACTGCTAGGAGAAAAACCCCAAAGAAGAGGATGCCTGTTGAGGGAGGAGAACAGCTATGTCCCTTCCAGTGCCCATCCCTCTTCTCCTTCTTTATTTTCCTCTATTTTCACCATGTGCTATGTGATGTCATTTACTGGTTTCTGACATGTTTGTTTCCTCCCAGTAGAGGGTAAGCTCCTGGAAGGCAAGGATATCTATCTGTTCTGTTCACTGATGGACTTATTAGCAACTGGCACATAGTAGGAGCTCAACAATTTTGCTTAATGAATGAATAGCATGCCTTGTTTGTGCTGGGCATGGTGA